AATTAAATTTCGTCTCATCAGACCATAGGACATGGTTTCAGTAATCTATGGGCTTTGCTGACATGTCTTCAGCAAACTGTTTGTGGGCTTTCTTGTGTATTGCCTTAAGAAGAGGCTTCCTCCTGGGGGTGACAGCTATGCACACCAATTTGATGTAGTGTTTGGCGTATGATCTGAACACTAACAGGCTGAATCCCAATCTCTTTAATCTCTGCAGCAATGCTAACAGCACTCCTACGCCGATCTTTCAAGGAAAGCATTTGGATGTGACGCTCAGCACGTGGGCTCAGCTTCTTTGGACGACCTACCCGAGGCCTGTTTTGAGTGGAATTTGCTCTTTTAAAATGCTGGATGATCTTAGCCACTGTGCTTCAGCTCAGTTTCAGGGTGTTGGCAATCTTCTTGTAATCTTGGCCATCTTTATGTAGTGCAACAATACGTTTTTTAAGATCCTCAGAGAGTTCTTTGCCATGTGGTGCCATGTTAAAACTTTCAGTGACCGGTAAGAGAGAGTGTTAGAGCTGCACTTCAAATTTGAATACACCTGCTCCCTATGAACACATGGGTATAGTTACACTAATGAGTCACATGATATTATGGAGGGAAAATGAAAAGCAGTACTCAATTTAGACATTTAGGGGTGTAGTTTCTTAGGGGTGTACTCACTTTTTAGGGGTGTAGTTTCTTAGGGGTGTACTCACTTTTTAGGGGTGTAGTTTCTTAGGGGTGTACTCACTTTTGTTGCCAGGGATTTTAGCTTTTAATGGCTATATTTTGAGTTATTTTGAGGGGAAAAGTAATTAACTCTGTTAAATATGCTGCAGACAGACTACTTTTCATTGTGTCAAAAGGTAATTTTTTCAGTGTTGTCCCATGAAGAGATATACTTAAATATATGAAGAAATGTGAGGGGTGTACTCACTTTTGTGATACACTGTATATATGTATGTATATATATATAAATATATATATATATATATATATATATATATATATATATATATATATATATATATCATATATATATATATATATATATATATATATATATATATATATATATATATATATATATATATATATATATATATATATATATATATATATATATATATATATACATACATATATATACATACATATATATATATATATATATATATATACATTTATATATATACAAACATATATATATACATACATATATATACATACCTATATATATACATACATATATATATATATACATATATATATATATATATATATATATATATATATATACATATATATATATAAATATATATATATATATATATATATATATATATATATATATATATATATATATATATATATATATATACATATATATATACATATATATATATATATATATATATATATATATATATATATATATATATATATATATATATATATATATATATATATATATATATATATATATATAAAAAATATATGGATATAAATCTGACAGTATGAAAGAAAAAATACAGAAAAAACAAAAATCTGAATATGCATTTATGTAGTATTAATGTTAAAATAAAGTCGACGTCGGACGTTTCGGTCTATTTAAGACCATCTTCATGGACATTTTATTTAAACATAATTAACATTATAACTTATAAAATTTTAACACAAAAGACAATGGACATAAGAGCCCAACTAATTCAAACAGATAACTGAAATTTTATACAGATCAGCGTTCTGTTTAAATATGATCACGTAGTCGTCACGTGGGCGATGTTGTTAAAACGTATTCGAATATGATTTCCAAAAAAAATAAAATATTAAAAAAGTCGATTGAAAATTTTTTATAAACAGTTCAAGAAATCTCTTCCGTTGATGTCGGAATACGTAGTGATCAATTGGTTCTTATATCTTCAATAAGCTTGAAGTCCTTCCCGTTACAAAGGCAAATCCAAAAATGATTTCAAAAACGATGGAACAGTTCTAAAAAACAGTTCGATAATAAATCCATTCCTTACTTGATCAATAGAATCTATTATTCTCGTCCAAGCTTGAAATCTTCCACGTTATAAAGTAAATTCAGTTTTGTATTTCCAGTAGACAGTATGTAAGCAAATATATGGATATAAATCCGACAGTATGAAAGAAAAATCCAGAAAAAAAAACAGACATCTGAATATACATTTATGTAGTATTAATGTTAAAATAAAGTCGACGTCGGACGTTTCGGTCTATTTAAGACCATCTTCATGGACATTTTCATTTAAACATAATTAACATTATAACTTATAAAAATTTTAACACAAAAGACGATGGACATAAGAGCCCAACTAATTCAACCAGATAACTGAAATTTTATACAGATCTTTATTTTAACATTAATACTACATAAATGCATATTCAGATTTTTTTTTTTTCTATTTTTCTTTCATATATATATATATATATATATATATATATATATATATATATATATATATACATTTTAGTGCATTATAATTCGGTCTACCAAGGCAATATTTCCTAGATACAGGAATCCTTCGATTAGTGATGCTAATGTGTGCATTAAAAGACACACTTTAACCGAAAATGCATTAATCGAATATAGTAACTTATTGGAAATAATGTAAGTTGTATCGCAGATTTTATTCTCATTCACAATTAATTTCTAACTTAAGTACTTTTTAATTAAAATATAGGTACATTGAAGATAAACTAAAAATGCTGTAAATTAATTTTTTAATAATCTGATTTTCTTATGGGGTGTTTGCTGCATTGTATTCTTTTGTTCTTGCGGTAACTTGGCGGTACTACGAAATTTCTCCTTCAAATTTTCCAAACATATAATAATCATTAATATTTTAACCAGAAAATTTTATTTATAAGTTTTCCATAGTAAATGAATACATCGATTATATTTCGATATTTTTAAATAAATGTAAATTTGATGCATCTAATTAAATTATACATTTCTTCTTTCAAAAAATCAGAAATTTTCTTTTAAGACCTTCAAAATAAACACAAAAAAATTAAATTAAAAAAAAAATAATAGAGAGAAATATTGAAATATATATTTTTATTATCGGCTTATATTATACAATTTACCTATTTATAAGTGTCCATTTTTAACACTACTCTAATTACTTATATAACGTAATATTTGACAAACAATATAGTTATCCATTTTCAATTTTTTAATTTAAAAAAAAATAATTCATCAATAGCTATAAAAATGCAATTTTCAGTTACATTTGTTAAACTGAAGAATGATTTGCCGCACTAATCTTGTATCTTTATATTTCTGATATGTAATTATTTACATTATTTGCATTGTTCAGAATTCTTTGAGGACACGTAAAAGCGTTGGTTGGATCTAGTGACTTGACCAAAAGAGTTGTGAGTTCAATACCTGGCTACTGCATTGGTGAACAAAAACTTGGAGGGGTTGAGTTAAAGGGAGATATCTGAGACAAACGGAAGAGGTATGTCATGTGGAACGAGAATGATCTAACTCGATGAACGAAATAAAGGGTTCATTTCAAAATTCCAATCACCTGATGGAAGCCCGGAGAAAGCACCGACCGAAATGCCGTGAATATGACAATAAAGATGATGACAGCATTCTAAATACTTTATCTAGTCAAATATTAGCGCACTAATGGAAAATGAATTAATTAAATGCGCATTAATCGAGGGATTCCTGTTTTGTTTTTTTCCAATAAAATGTGATTTTTTGTTTTTCCTGCACGATAATATGTCGGGAATGATTTCGTAGTAATTGTAGTTGTATTATTATTATTATTCAATATTAAGGAATATTATAGTGCTTACTGTACTTTTATTTTTAATTTCATTTTTTTTTTATGTACGGGAAATGTATATATATATATATATATATATATATATATATATATATATATATATATATATATATATATACCATGTTTATGGACAATTATTATCTTAATTTTGAGAATTCATTCAACAAAAGTTAACATGCAATAATGTTAAGAAACAGTCTAAACGCTAAAATGTGATAAAGGGTTGAGTTTAAGTATCCCCACCAAAAGAAAAGAAAAAAAATTACAAATAAATTAAAAACGGCAATTAATTAAACCATACAGTACTTAAGGAGAAGGGCAAGATTTAGGAAGATTAAGATTACCTCCTCGGTTATCCATCGAAACCGCAAGCCACCGATATAAGAAAAGAAGCCAGTCCCCACCGCGGGCCATTTAAAAGATATTTCGCGCACCGGATTGGTTGTTACAAACATCCAATCGGATGTGCGGAATATGTGGTCTTTCTTCCTCTTATTCTTTAAAAAGGCCAGAGTAGCTGTTAGCGTTTAATTAGAAGGGGGATTCAGGGGTTGATCTCCTCTGATTGGGTTGGTTTGGTGATGGGGAGTATGATGTTGAAAGACCCGAAACTCCCTAATGAACCAAGTCAAAAACATCACTGACGACCCCCTTGGGTGCCTACTTAAATGCGTATTTGCTAGTTTTATTAGCAATAGAAAATTTATAAAAAAAAAAAACTTGTTTTCTGGTTCAGATTTATACAGATGTGAAATGGTGAGAGATAAATTCATCAAATGAGGAATAAAGCATCAGCAGACGACTAATTCTTTCTGATGTGTAACTTGCAATATCATGGGCCGAATTTTGAAAACTATGAAAAGGAGGAAAAAAGAAATTGATATAACAGTACTAATGTAAAAACAGTACTAATGTAAAACATTAATGGACGATGTATATTTACGTATTCTGGCTCGTCTACATCAGCTCTTAGTTTTATTTCTCATAAGTTGACGTCATTGCGTGACGTGTCGAACCCAGCTTTAATAAAAACCTCTGAACCAAATACGAAATACGTTAAGTTTGATCGCAGCAATCATGATATACTTTCGCCACGACATTTTGTTAAATAGATACTATATGTCTGAACACGAACATATGATAAATTACATATATATAATTACACACACACACAAACACACACACACATAGATAGATAGATAGATAGATAGATAGATAGATAGATAGATAATGTCGGATACTTTATTGAAAGTATAGAGACGAACATCGATAGATAGATAGATAGATAGATAGATGAATCGGATAGATTATTGAATAGATATAGATAGAGAAATTGTCGAACAACATCGTGAGGTAGATAGATAGATAGATAGATAGATAGATAGATAGATAGATAGAATAGATAGATAGATACTTTTATTGAAAGTATAGAGACGAACATCGTGAGATAGATAGATAGATAGATAGATAGATAGATAGATAGATAGATAGATAGATAGATAGATAGATAGATATTGTGAGTGTGTGTTTGTGAGCGTGTTGGTGTCAGTGGTTATCTCGATTACTAGAAAATCTAGTCGCATAAAAACTATTAAAATAGGCGTCCTTTCTTCCTGCAGGAAAAGCGAGACAGATTTAAGTAGAAACTAAATTAGGGTAAAGTCCATTGTTAGACTAAAATATACTTATCACGCTGTATTAAAAGTGTTTAAGCAAATGTGGAGAGTTAGAGTTTCGTTGTAAAGTTGGATTTACGTCATTTAGAATTCTGCAATGTCGATGTTCAGGTGAGTTTAAATAGAAATGACCAAAGCGAGACAGAGACAGAGAGAGAGAAAGAAAGAGAGAGGGGGTGAGACAAGGAGTGGGGAGAACATTTACATACTTTTTCTGTTTTGTAGGCTAGAAATATTTCGTATTTATGTATTGCCGAGTTGGTTTAAACTCATGGTGTATGCTTTAAAAATTAACCCCCAACAATTGGATTGCTGTACCTTTTGTAAATAATTCTATTAAAGTAAGACACAAGAAATATAGATTGAGGACAATATAAAGAAAAAAAAACTAATATCATTCCGTTTAAATTATGCCTTGGAAGTATCATTCAAAAACTGCAATAGGAATGAAGAGATTAGTCATGAAACTTAAATGTGACATCTACTATACTGCTTACACTTTAATAGTGATTTTCAAGCGCAACATGATGTGATACAAGGCCGAAAGCATGGGGCACCCAGTGAGGATCGAACTCACTACTCCGTTTTAAATGATCTCGCAATACAACATTCCTAACCGTTACATCACGTCGAGGTGCTAAATGGAGATTTTCTAAGCATAGCTTACATGTGGTTCAAGGCCGAATGTATGTTGCACCGAGTGAGGATCGAACTCCCTATTCCGTCGTAATTCACCTAGAGAAAGAAGGTTGCTAAAGATTGCACCACATCGAAGTGCCCAATACTGATTTTCTAAGCGTAGCTTTGATGTGAAACAAGGCCGAAAGTATGGGGCACCCAGTGCGGATTGAAATACTCCGTCGTAAATGATCTAGCAGAACAAGCTTCCTTACCATCACACCAGGTCGAGGTGTCCAATGTAGATTTTCTAAGCGTACAAGGCCAAAATTATGGGGCCCCCAGTGAGAATCGAAAGCACTCTTCAGTACTAATTGATCTAGCGGAACAAGCTTGCTAACCATTGCATCACGATGAAATGCCCTCTGTTTACATTTTAAAAATAGCAGAAAATCATTTTAATTTTGTAAACGGGATCATAATGAAGATTGTTTTACATTTCATAAAAGCACAGCTGATTTTATTCGAATGCAATATCAATATTTTTATTATAAAAAGTTATTCTAGTGTAACTTGAATATATACAGTTAGTCCAGTTGATGCCAAAATAGCATTTATGCTCAGTCTTACAAATATAAGACTGAGAAACCGGCTTGACCTGGAAGATATCATCTTACCTACAAAGTAAATATTAGTGCCTTTGTTGTATATCAGAAACCGACTCCGACGTGTAATCAGGTTGTCGCCTGAGCTGCGTCTAGCTCTAAACTTATGGTTCAAACTGGATATATATAAGCGCTATACACTAGATGGAAATCGAAGATAGTATCTCATATACAGATGATAGATGGTAGCACGTATGACCTGCTACCATCTAAGAACAATCTTGTGAAATGGAAGAAAGAGAGTGATCCCACTTGTCCCCTGTGTAAGGAAAAGCCACAAACATTAGAACATGTTCATAGTTCCTGTAAAACAGCCCTTGTCGATGGCAGATATACATGGAGGCACAATTGTGTTTTGGATGAACTGGTCAGAATTATAAAGAAATACATGAAGTCTGAGTCATCTAATTCAGCCCAGGAATTTGTTGCAGAAGGAAAAAGATATGTCGGCTCTAAGCAAACAAGCAAATGTCATGCTATACCCGGAAAAAATCTCCTTAGTTCTGGTGACACCTGGGAGGTATCTGCAGACCTTCCTGGTTGGCGTAATGATTACCCCAAAATAATATCAAGTAAAGGTCTGCGACCAGATATTGTTCTTCTGTCAAGGGTGAACCATAAAATCATCCTGGTTGAATTAACAGTACCATATGAATGCCGGATGGAACAAAGCCACGATTATAAAACTAATAAATATGAAAATCTAAAGTCAGAGCTAATAAAGGAGGGGTATAATGCAATTGTTAGAGCAGTGGAAATTGGAGCAAGGGGTTTCGTTTCAGGCACTCTGTACAAATCTCTGGGCCAAATTGGAATCAAAGGGCGTAATAGGGCCAAGAGTATAAAACGCCTAGTAGAAGTAACAGAAAATAGTTCTATGTGGATATGGATAAAACGAAATACTCCGTGGAGTGTTTCAGCGAACATGACGGCATGACATGTCTGATCGTGAATGCGTAATGAGGTTCACGTTGCATTCCCAGAACGCGAGGTTTGGAATTTTCGTAAATTTAATTTCGCCGTTACACATTTGAACTAGTTTATATACAAGACTTGTATATCGTTATAATGGGGCCTCACATCAGTGAGGGGGGCCGGTGTACAACTGAAACCGTTGAGAGGAAGTCCCCGAAACGGTGCACATTCTCTCCTGATGACCCCAATTTAAAATTCGAGAGGAACACATCAAATTCAGTGAAGTCAAAAGCCGTAGTGAAGCTCGGTGGAAGTGTCATTGGCATGAGGAGCATTACACATTCAGCTCGCTTCAGGTGAGTTTCATTTACTTTCCAGTAATTTCCTTCTATACAGCCGCGAAGAAAAATGAGCACACATGACCCGATATTTTGTTAAATAATCCAGATTTTAACTAATGCAGTGGTAGAAAATAATAGGGATATAGGAGTGAGAGCAAGAGATGTACATGAACCCGAGAAGATACGAACGTAAAGGCGTAATGGTAAATGTTAATCGATTAAATTGAAGATTAACAAACACAGAACAAAAGAGAAGAGTGGAAATGTCTGGGTGGTAAAATCATCTCGAACGGATGACAATTATGCTAGGCGGAATTAAATCTCTTTCTACACACACATGCACAAAGACACGCACACACACACACATACACACACACATGCACAGACGCACGCACACACACACACACAAAACACACATCTTTATACACTCAACATTTTTTGGAGTTGCCGCTAAGGTCCAATGAAACTGAATCGCTGACACTTGAACTAATTATCACTTCGTTGTCATGAACTACTTAACAATTTACTGGCATTATTCATGTTCATTAAACTATGATACTTCCAAAGGTTGATAAAATCTAATTATCATCAATTTCTGGCGCAAAAAATTACAATGTTATTATGCATGACAACGTTATTATAATCGACCAATCAGATTTTATTTTAAAAAGACATGCAATCTGAGGGAATTATTTCCTGCATGAAGCTGAAGTAACTCCCATCTCGAATCAAATGCAAAAAAAAAATTGATGACATAATCACATGTCTCTCAATATCAATTCAACTTTTTAAAAAATAGAACTTTGAAATAGATAAAGTTACTCTAAATGCATATTCTTCAAAACTCTAGTTTTCATTTTATATGTATAAAAATAATTTAATTTTGCTGGGTTAAATATCTATAGACAGACCAGCTGATAAACATTCATGTATTTTAGCTTACCACCTAGTCTCTTAACTTTCACTTAAATCTTAGTCAGCCTATGGATATTGTGTGTGTGCATATATATACATATATACGTGTGATAGAAATTAAGAGGATTTGAGATAATTATAATTCATAAGAATTTTAGAAGAAAGCTCAACATAATGCACAAAGCCGTAGTGTCCAATATTTGGGACTCATCAGCAGTGTGCATTCACTACCAAGAATTGAAACCCGGATAGTTACGTTATCAGGCAAACTGTATCAACGGTGACGAAAAGGTAGCGAATTAGACTAGATATAGCTCTGCTCGATCACATATTCCGTGGTGGAACTCATCCGAGTTTTTCTTTTATCCATAGAACTGTGCCCCCACGAGACACGACTACTACAAGCCTCTCGATCCAGAGCATTAGAAGCCGGTTCAAGCAGGCATATACAAGCGATACAAATTAGAAGTATTTGAGACAGTTATAATTAATTCATTGAATCTAGAAAGTTACGGTTAAGTTACTCTCTCTCTCTCTCTCTCTCTATATATATATATATATATATATATATATTCCGTTCATACATTATTCTGATAGCTATAATTTGTGTAAATGTTCTGTTTTTTTTTTTTGTTTTCGTTTTTTAAATAAACTGTATTAATGGCATTTACCGATCTGAATGTTCGAGAAATTTCGGAGAGAATATGTGATTCTCTGTTTCTCCGACAAGAATCGAACCTGTAAACAGAAAGGGAATCATCATCTTATCTTATATATATATATATGAATATCTATTTAGAGTAACTTTACCGATTTCATAGTTCTATTTTCTAAAAAGTTAAATTGTTACAGAGAGAGATGTGATTATGCCATCATATATATATATATATATACAGAGAGAGAGAGAGAGAGAGAGAGAGATACGATGACACTGTGTGAAAAAAATTACTTAGTTTCGTTTTCTTTGTTATTCCGAGCCTAACTTAGCGTTCAGCTCTAGTAAAATTATGTCAGGCTAGGTTACATCTTATCAATTTTCTGGGCAGCTGCCATTGTCTCATAGATAGCCAGATCATCACGTAGGCTATTTGTAGACGCAATGATTTTTTTTTTCTCTAGGGTACACCTGTCTATTTTGTTTCTATACCAGAATAAAAAAAGACTTCTGCATCGTGTATTCTTGTCGTTACCAACATTGTTATTGCTCGGACTTTTAAACTATTAAAAACTTCGTTTCAGGTATTCCAATAGATTTACATTTTAGGCTATTATAGGTTGACGCATTACAATATTTTTTCTCTCTTTGTACAGATCTCTTTGGCCTTTCCCCAATCTCAACTAAGTTTTGGAAATATACATTTCTCTATAAGTTTGCACGTAATCTCGAATCTAAATGATATATTTTTTTGTGATTTCTCGACGTGCTTTGAATTTGCTTATCTGATATTTATGC